GAGAGAGAGAGAGAGAGAGAGAGAGAGAGAGAGAGAGAGAGAGAGAGAGAGAGAGACTCTACAGACATGGGAGACAGTGACTAAAGAAGACACAGGATGCCAACCCATTTCTATACATAAAAATAAACACATATATTTAATCCTAAAACCTATAAAAATACAATTATCAGTCAGATAGTGGTGGCACACACCTTTAATCCCAGCACTTGGTAGGCAGAGGAAGGTAGATCTCTCTGAGTTTGATGTTAGCATGGTCTACAGAGCAAGCTCCAGGACAGGCTCAAAGCTACACAGAGAAACTCTGTCTCAAAAAAATAAAAAACTACAAATATGAATTACCACTTATAAATTTATATAACTGAAGATAAACCTGTCTCCACCAAGTGCTGGATTGCAAGTGTGAACCACCACACTCAATGTATGGGTTCTGGAGGAGCAAGATGGCTCTGTGCATGCTAGGCAAGATCTCTAACAGCTCATCTATATTCCCAGTCCTCTGAATCCTCACCTGTAAAATGGGAATGATAAATGTTGCACTGCATAAGTGTTTACTCCAGTATCTGGCTTATAGCCAATGATGCAGCTTTCAGTTGTTTAGTCAATATGGAATCAGTATAACACAGCAGCTAACAGGGGAGGCTTTGGGCAGGCAAGATGGCTCAGGGAATAAAGGCACTTGCTGCCCAGTCTGAAATCGAGTTCCATCCCCAGGACTCACATATTTGAAAGAACAGACTTCTGCAAGTTGTCCTCAGACCTGCACACCTGTGTAGTGTCACAGAAATGCCTGCTCCAGAAATAAATAAAATCTTGAATTTTTTTTTAAACAGAGGCTTTGAAATGATGTAGATCAGTGTTCCAGAACCAAATGTCATCACTTCTAAGCTGGGTGGCCATCGCCAAGTGACCCTGCCTTCCTCGTGTTCCTCATCAGTGACGTCATCTATATTTTAGTATCTACCTGATAAGGTTGTTGTGAGGTCAAATGAGACCAAGGAAATGACCACTAAATGGTGACTGTCCTTGTTACTTCCTTGTGCCCTCCAAACTCATGAGGGACAAGCAGAATCCAGGGGTCCCAGAGGGTAAACCTACCACTGCAGGTGATCTCAGTCCCAGAGCATGAGTATGAGTAGGAGGTGGTGTAGGGGTTGTCTATGAGGGATTTGCAGTTTTCCATCTTCATGACCTGATCATAGCAATTGTCGTGAGTCTGGCAGCACCTGGAAGAGGAAGGAACAGCTGAGAAAGGACTATGGACCTAGAGGAGGTCAGTTCTCACCTGCAGTCTTTCTCAAACATGTGAGGATGATTTAAACATGATATTCCAGAATAAATCATCCTGAGGCTTGAGATTTTGTGATTTCTATTAAGCATATATTTATTGAAAGCAACTTCTGTGGAGTGTAGTGGTGTCTACCATTAATCCCAGTACTTGAGGGGCAAAGGCAGATGAACACTAAGTTCAAGTCCAGCATGCTCTCCAGAAGGAATTCCATAAAACCTAGGGCTACAAGAGAACCCCTGTCTGGAAACTAACAAACAAAAATAATAAATAAACTAAACAGAATATATTATGTCTGGGGAATCTGCATGTCTCCTATTTGTGCCTCACGAGATGCTCTGCTTGTGTCCTGTTCCCACCAACCCAGATGCTCCAGTCTCCCACCAGATGGATCACTCACCTGTCTAACGCATCCACCGGAGTGCCTGAGCCCCCGAAGCCACAGTAGCAGCCATAGTTGCTGTATTCCAACAAGGGATGACTGGCAGGGATGGTGCACTTGATCACATTGTTGAACTGCCACAAAGACCGACGGCTGATGCTGTGAGCATTAGCACCTGCTACAAGAATGCACAGCACACTCCATCAATTTCACCGGGTTTTACCAGGTGTCTGATGCTTGCCTGCTAGCTTCCTCCTGAGTCCCACCAGATGCTGCATCAGGAGAGCAGTGAAGAGATCTGAGTGTGTGTGCAAGTGTGTGCAAGTGTGTGCAAAAGTGTGCAGGTATGTCCTTGCCTGCAAACAGGTTCATAGGCATGCACATGTTCATAAATAACATGCTACACAAGGAGACCACAAAACAACTTTAGGCAGATGGTTTTCTCTCTCTACTAGGTAGGTATTGTAGAGGAGACTAACGTCACCAGGCCTGTGCAAAAAGCTGTCTACCTATCTGAGATAAGGAGTTGTTGCCCTGTCACCAAGCTAGCCTCAGACTTCATAGGAACCCTCTGGCCTCAGCCTCCTGTGTAGTAGGATTATAAGTGAACACCACTGTATCTGGCTGGGCTGACTCCCCAGGACTCAGTTCTATAGACATTGTCTTTTGCCTTGCTTGCCTGCTCATTTCTCACTGTCAGGACAGACAGACACCACACTCCGTGCTCTCCTAGGGTCTCTGTGTTGAGGAGCTGAGAACACTCTCATCTACAGCCAGGAAAAAACTGACCTCTTAGTTCAATAACCCAACAACCCAACCATCTGTTAAGTTTGAAAGCTGCCCCACCCCTACGCAAGCCTAGGTGAAACCCTAGCCTTAGCAGGCAGTGGGATTCATCACAGTTCTAGCTGAGACCTTGAGCCAGAGAAGCAGCCAACACATGCTGAATGTTTTACACTGGAAGAATTAGAAGGAATCTGTTGTATGGCCATGCACAGCTCATAGACAAGGATAATGGTCAGATCATTATTGTAAGGTCAGCATTTGATTAAAAAAGAAACTGATCGTCTGCTGAGGAGTAGGTAAATAATTCAGAATTCAGAATACACCGGAATACTTGGTCACCATTAAAATGCAGGAAAAGACAGGTAGAGTGGAACACACACTCTGTGATACCAGCACTCTGGAGGCTGAGGCAGGTGAATATCTAAGTTCAAGCCAGGATGGTCTTTAGAGTGAATTCCAGACCAGCTATCACTATTTGAAGAAACACTCTCATGTAAAGTGCCCAGAAAAAAAGAATTGCAGTCCTAATCTTCAGGTGTAACCATTGGGAACTGTGCATTGAAGACCAGGGAGATGGTGGTCACCCACAGGGGACAAGGGTCCTACCTGTGAGCAGTGTGATCAGCAGAAGGAGTTTCATCCTGAGTGTGTGGAGGACTCAAGTGACTTCTCTCTTTATAGGTCTGTGTGTAATCCTAACCCTTGGGAGGCTGAGGTAAGTTTTGGCTAGAATGTTGAGTTGAAGGACATCCTGAGCCAGAACTATATAATCCTGTAAAAACTAATAATAATAATAATAAGGTTTGGAGAGATGACTCTGCAGTCAGGAGTCATGTTGAGCTTGTGTGGGACCCAGACTCAGGTCCAGAAGCCACAAGGCAACACACAGCTGCCTCTGACCTCAGTTCTTGAGGATCAGACCCCTCCTCTGGCCTCTGTAGGCACTGCTCACACTCAGTTCACAGACACACATGCGGGCATAGGGCTCAAACACATAAAATAAAAGTCAATGTCTTTTAAAAGGAAAAGAAAAATCACATTGTCAGGACACTTTAGGCCCAAGGTGCCAGGGCAATATGGCAGAGACAGAAGGGGCTTCATTGCTTGCGTAGGTGACTGTAGTGGACTTTCCAAGGAGTCATCTGAGTTGACCTACAGGGTAAAGGTGCCACCTCTTGTGGATATGGGGTAAGCAGGGAACCCCAACCCACAGGCTATTAAACCCAACAGGAACCCCAAACCAGAACTTCAGGTGTGATCAGCAGAGCCTGCACATTGAAGACTTGGGAGATGGTGGGCACTCATAGGGGACAAGGGTCCAACCTGTGAGCAGAGTGACCAGCAGAAGGAGTTTCATCCTGAGTGAGGGGAGAACTCAGTGACTTCTCTTTAGAGTCCTGTAGCTGTGCTCTGACAGTGTCCAGTCAGCACACGGGGCCTGTGACTACTGTGTGTGTAGCACAGAAGTAGAATATGTGAACCCTCACACACAGTCCCGACCTGCAGAGCTGCTGTAGATGGTGACAGAGCCTGAATCAGTGCTGTCCCAGAGACAGAGAAAGGGCTAGCTCAACACCCCAACCAAGTCAAGTGCAATGACTGGCAAAGGTCCAAATCCCTCCCCTGTGGATGCTTCGAGGTCATAAGAAGATCTAGACATTGCTCCTGGGCTTGGGTCTGAGGGATGCAGACAGAGACATATTGCCCCAGGCCGGAGTAGGTGGCCCCTACAATCCTGTTAACTGTATAAACTACATGCTAAGTCTGTCCCAAGAATCTGACACAGCCTATGAGGTAGATCCAGTACATACTCAATCTTTTATTAATTAACCAACTAATTAATGTGTGTTGTTTGTGTGAAAGAGACAGAGAGAGCACTTATGTGCACATGTGGAGGTCAGAGAAGATCTCTGTGGAGTCAGGTCTCTCCTTCCTCCTTTAAATCAGTTCCAAGAATAAACTCAGATCAAGACGCTTGGATTGTTGGATAGGTCTTACTAACCTACAAACTTCATTAAAAACTAGAAATGGCTGGGCAGTGGTGGCGCACACCTTTAATCCCAGCACTCGGGAGGCAGAGGCAGGCGGATCTCTGTGAGTTAGAGGCCAGCCTGGGCTACCAAGTGAGTTCCAGGAGAGGCACAAAGCTACACAGAGAAACCCTGTCTCGGAAAACCAAAAAAAAATGTAGGCAGATGGAGGTGGTGGTGGTGGTG